TTGTCTCCTCTCTGACTATGTGTGCGCGTGTGTGCATATTCTTCGTGCGCAAAATCGTTTCGTTTCTTTCACTTGACCTGTTGTTGTTTTTTTGCATTTAGATTTTACGATTTTACTTATTTGTAATTATTATTAACAATTTATATACAGTATATATATATATATATGTATACATAGTTTATTTATACACACCGTTGTGATCAACAGATATGATGATATATATATGATGAAAATGAAGTTGCAAATGCATAAGAGATTGATTGAGGGAAAAAAAATAAGATAATATATATATATATATGAATTGTGCCTAACTTTGTTAATTTTATGTTTAGCACTGAACAAATATCATTTTAATAAAAATGTTCTCGAAAAAAAAAAATACAAAACAATAAGTATGTAAACCATTACTTTCCTCGTCATCTTTATTATAACTACTCTACTTAGTTTCATGTCATTCACTTAGTGACTGATTTTCTTTAAATTAAGAAGCTTATACAGGTAAACGTCGTTTTGCGCCGATTCACTGCGAAATAACGCTTATTAATTACTGATTTTACACTTAGATAGAATTAAACCCTATAGTTACCTCACTGTAAATATGGGTTCATTTTACGCCGATTCGATTTGCGACGGCAGATGTTCGTTAATCAAGGTAAGTTGTCTAAAGAAAAAACATGATTTTTCGATAATTAAACAATTAAATTTAATTTTACGTAAATTTAAAATGAAATTCTTATATTAATGCGCAAAATGTTCGAAACATTATCATTCATTGAACGTTTAATTGAGACGCGACAGTATTTTTTTGAAATTCGAGAAAGCTTTGTTTCCCAAAAAGTAATCCATGTAGCGACATCGGTTCGTAATTTCTCGCAACAATTGATAATATAAAGGTATTTCTAGACATGAATCAGTTATTATTAGAAATTTTACCCTATGTTGGTTTTTGGGAATCGAATCAACGACCTTTCGTATCAGATTTTCGTGATATAGGCAACCATAAGAACAAATTCTATATTAACAATTAATTAACGTATGCAACCCATTTTTCAATTGACAAATTTGTTTGTCAAGAAGAATTCAAAAAAGGTTACGTATACAACCAACTATTCAATTCAATTATTATTTTTCCATTTATTTATAAACAAAAAATAACATATCACTTATATATTATACTTTATTATTATTTTTGTTTATTAAAATAGTAATTTTTAAATTCAAATTAAACTCGCCAGAAACTTTCACTCACTTCGACCAATTTTGTATTATTATGCAACCAAATTGGTACCGTTCAAACAAAAGCGCGCGTAGCATTTAATTTTCCATTGCACCTACATTATTTTAACCGGATTATAATAATAATAATTAGGTCTTCAATTGTTGTTCGTTTGTTTGTTGTTTTTTTTTTCTTTTTATTTTCCAACCAAAGTTTCAACAAAAAGGGAGAGACATAAATCATAGCAGAAAGATAAATATATATATATAATAGGATACGAAATGTAAATTCATGTTTTTTAAAAATATATATACGTGTGAAACAAACCCAAATTATAATCTCTTAATATATCGTAATAATAATAAATTGTGATTTAGCTATGTAAGGCCTATTTTACAACATCCCTTCTCTTCATTATCATCATCACCTTTTTACACACATTTAATAATAATAATCATTGCGATAATCGTAATAATAAAATAATAACATATGATAAATATAATACAGAGTAGTTTATTTTTCTTTTTTTCTCAATAAGGAAGGGGCCTCTCTTTAGCACCTTTCGAAATTAGTTTTAGTTTTTATACAGCAAATGAAAGGTCGTCATCGTCTTCGTCGAAGAGTGGAGAGAATGGAAATTTATGTAAAAAAAATATATATATGTATATAATATTTGACACGTCGATCGCGCACGAGACGATTCGAACGGTTTGCTGCTTTCGTCGTCATCTCGTTTCACATAAGGACGGGGGGGTTCATGAAAATATCACTTTTCTTCTTTCTTTCTTTCGTTCTACTACAACATAAACATTACATTATTTCCGGTTTAATTGCAGAATTTCACTTGTTTTCTTTTGGTTTTAAGGGAGGGAAGGGCGAGTAGGTTGTGTAGGAATCGAATCGCCTCGTGCACCTCCGATATCGTTCGTTTCTTATTAATATTATTTGTTTTTCTTCTCCTTCTTCTTAATCTTTTCAAATATATATATATATATTTGTATTATTTTGGATGAAAGGAAACGCCAGGGGGAAATGCATACACACACAATATCATTAATTATCATCATCATCATCATCGTGGTTAATTTTCAGCGTTCTCATCTCATCTCAACTCGTCGTGTCATCCAGATGCTGCGAATTCGGATGAATGCGCTCGAATCGCGATGGCTTTGGTTCTGATTTTTGAGCTTTTCTTTTGTTTCAAACGCAATCCGAACGCGCAACACCGACAAGACAAAACAAACAGGCGCACTCCCACGAAAACAAAAGGTTTCCCTTCCGAACCCTATACGTTCTCGCTCTCTCACAGACAACAATATAACAATTTTAAAAATTTACAATATTACACCGTGAAGAAAGCACTATAGTATATAATAATATATTTCATATAGTCATATAATAATTATATATACATGCATATTGATGTACACATACGAAGGTTCTTAGGTACGAAAGCAGTGTTTTTTTTAATTTGTATTTGTTACCACCTCAACGGTTGTTTTTCTTTTCACTTCTTATCCTCTTATACAATTAAACCATCTGTAATCACCATTCATCATAATCATCATCTTCATATATATATATATTATTATTTATATCTTCGTTATACTTGTAATATTTATATAATCATACTTTTCATTTGTTTGTTTATTTTTGTTTGTATACAACAGTCTTTACAATGTGATAAATTCAAGTAAACCAGGGGAGAAAGAAACACGAGTTTAGAAAATATAAAGAAGGGGGGGTTTAGAGGAAAGAAAATGAAATTCGTAATTTGGCAACGAGAACCAGCAAAAATTATTACAATATCACCATCAAATTATTTTCTTCTTTCTGTTTCACCATCAACAATTACACACACATATATATATATATTGGTTTGCATCTCCGATCGAAGCTAAGCGCGCAACTTTTGTTTTTTTTTCTTCAAATTATTTATAACCGTTGCTTTTGTTGTTCTTTTGTTATTTTCGCTGCATTTGTTTATTACTACTGTGAACGCGTCAAGTTTTCAATTACTATTGGCGTTTCCATGGCGATGCCAATTAAACGGAGGGAAACAGAGACGAAACGAATTCGCGGTGAAAATCCATGGCAACAACGTTTCCAATGGTAACTGCAATTGGAATGATTCTGCAATTCAATTCAATATATATATATACACGTATATATATATATATAAATGTATGCTGGGTTAAGACACTTTGATTAATTACAATTAATTACAAACTTAAATTACAATTATTTAGTAAAGCGTCGCGGCGCGAGAGTCTCACGACGCCTCCTTGCAAATCAATAAGACACTTCATCGATTATAAAATACATATACATATTTCCGAGATTTCACACAAAAAACAAAAAAAAACGAACAAAATAAATCGCTCCATGTGTACACTACTACTCTTCTCTCTACTCTTTTTCGCGTCCAATTAATTAATTAATATATAAATATACTTCTTAATCTATGTACACACTTCATTAATAATTACGATCGTTATTTGTAAACGCCAATTCTTACATATTTAGTATTTGACACCGAGTACGAACGACAGAGGAATCTTGGATTTGCATTTTCTCTCTTTCACATTTAGTTTAATACACAGAAGAAAATAAGAATAATTGAAAAAATCCACGCGTTGGAAGCACAGACAGACGGAGGAGCAATTCGTGTTTCATCGTTCTGTAATTCTGAAGAATGTAGTAGTGATAAGAGTAAATCAACACAAAAGCTACAGGTTCTTGGGATTGCTACATTCATATGAGCGAGTGAGAGAGAGAGAGGAAGTAATAATAATGATTTAAAAAAAGAAAACAAATCATTAAAAAAAAACAAACAAACAAAAAAGTTGAAAATTATAACAAATATATATTGTAATTACAAATGGATGGATCAATCAATTAATCAATCGGCCGACAGTCTTACAAGGTAAACTTAATAGTAAACAAAGAGTGTTAGTGAGAAAGAGATAAAGAGAGAGAGAGAGAGAAAGAGAAATTAAAATAACAAGTGTTGGCTGACATATTAAGTGAAACAAAACAAATCCCGTTTTCTGTAGGAGCATTCTTTTGTCATCAATGCACACCATTTTTTTTTCAATATATATATATATCTATTATATATATATTATTTCAATACATTTTTTTCCCATTTAATTGTTTTCGTTTATTTACATACACAGCCTACAAACAAGAAATCCGCACCTTCGACTTGACATATAGTGGTGATGAAGATAAAAAAGCAACGCAAATAATTTACCGTCGTATTAACTGCATATAGAGAAAGAGAACGGATATAAAGATCAACTGAAAATCCACCCTCCACCGATCGTTATTATTAACAAAGATGAAATAATAATAATAATAATAAAATAAAACTAATCACAGCAGTACATCCACCTTCGCGTTAACTGAAGCGATCTCACACAAAACAAATCAAGCAAATAAAATTAGTAGTGCTAATAATAGTAGTAGCAAAGCATGATAAAAATTATAAAATTAAAATTGTATCATCAAGGTGGTAAAGAACAAAAACAAAAGAAGAAGGATTGCACGGAATTATCACGCTTAAAAATTAGGTCGGCTGATGTCAATAAACAACTGAGGCCGTCGCGACGCCCAAACTTCATTTGTCTTTACACTCACATACGCACGCACGTCGAATCACATTTTTCTTTTTTTTGTTGAAACAAAAGTATGATACGAAGAGAAAACGTGAGAAAACCGAGAAGCATTCAAAAACAAAACGGAAACAAAAATTAAAATCAAGATACGTGTTTTTTGTATATTTCAACAAGAAAATAATAAGATAAACAAAAAATAATAATAATATATAATAATAATTATATAATCCGGTGAATTCGATCCATTTGGATTTGGTGATCGATTTCCATCCGTGATTATAAGTTAATAATTACAGCCTTAATAAACTTGCGCGAAATCGTTTTTTTTTCTTCCTCCTTCTTATTTTCACTATATATCGACGCAAACACACAGAAATTATAATTATAATAATAATAGATGTAAAACAAATCGTGTTTGAAACGTGAGAAAACTAAGCGAAATCTCCGATAAACAAAATGAATAATAATAATAATAAAACAAGAGGATGCCTCCCTCCCAGAAAAAAAAACAAAAGAAAATCGTAGTCATCGTCATGATCATCGAGCACGAGATTTTGTGGTCTGTGATGGTGTTAGCCCATTGCGAACAACAACAACAAACGAAATAATGATAAAATTAAGCAAACGCAAAGAAAGTAAACCAACTGAATAAGATATTAAAGAAATGATTATAATAATCATTAGGATTCGTTACAGTTCGATTGTTACTGGGAGAGAGAATTTGTCGCGTTACATAATAGTAGTAGTAGTAGTAGTAGCAGCAGTAATTCGTAATAACATATAAATTGATTAAAAATTAAAAAATAAAAATCCCAACAAAAGTTATCGTATGTATAATAATAATAATATACACTAGAACCTATCATACAGTTTTTCCCCTCCTATACAGCTTACAATAATAATGGTAGTTTCTTTTGCGTTCGAACAAAAAAAAAATATATAAGTAAATTAAAAAAAAATAATTATAGAACAAATAATAATTAATAATAATAATGGTCTGTACAACTTTCAGTGTTCCTCTTTGAATCGCGCCACACACAAACACACCACAACCTATTCTCTCTCTCTCTCTATCCATCTATATCCGTCTTTCTCAAACCTCTATCCGAGAACCGCACCAAAATCATCATCATCATCATCACAATTACACAATCATAGTAACTATATATATTTGTGTGTGTGTGTACATTTTTATATATATATATAGAATAAACATTCATTTTTCTTGTTTTAAATACAGTCTCGCATGCACGCACCATTATATTCGCAAAATTCCATCAAACAATCAAGCACACTTCAAAAACAAACAAACAAACAAAAAAAAGAACACAACTCAAGAGAGAAACAACAATCTCAAGTGCACACATTGTTCAAATCGCGTCAACAATTCCTTATATATATATAAATATAATTTTTAAAAAAAGAAAGAAAGAAAGTAGTAATTCCTTAAGAGAATAAAAAAATGTATCTGTACTATCGTAAAATTAATGTCGATGAGAAGACCGATTCATCCAGAGAAACTGTGTACCAATAAAAAGTGTCTTTGCTTTAATATATTTCAATATTTCCTTTTCTTCGTTTTACATTTTAATCCGCAAAACCCGGGAGCGGAAAGAAGCAATGAGAGAGAAAGAGAGAGAGAGAAGAGAAAGAGCGGCAAGGCAATTAAATTAAATTGTTTAATTAAGAAAATATAGATATATATATATATGTTTATGCACGATCACGCTTTCATTTTATTTAGTTCATTTTTATTATTCAATATATAATTAATTTATCCCTGCTGCATGGGTTTCTTTCTTGTTGGTCGCCGGCTGAGAGAGAGTTTGTGTGTATGTGTCGCGCGCGTCCTCCCCTCCTACCTACTATTATGTTAATATAAATTCAATCACAAAGACGCTTCTCGCTTCTTCAGCGTCTTTACGTCATTCCTCCTCCTCCACCTCCTCCTCATCCTTCTCTTCCACATCATCAACTAACCCGCCACTATTTCCGTTATCATATAAATATTTTTTATATATATGTAATGTATATGCGTGAATGTATGTATGTTTGCATATACTAAGCGCGCGCCCGGCTCCTCCACCTCAAAAAAATAATAATAATTACGATATTAATATTAATATAAACTTAATTTACAATGTTCACCGTGCACCGGTAATCGTTCGGAATCGTGATCGCCGCCGCCTTCGTCAGTTATTCCCCGTGAAAATAAACGCAATCAAATCAATCAATTAATAATAAGATATAAACTACATGATATCAACATTGTACAGAGCACTAATAAACATATTTAAATATTCAACAGTATATATCTCGAGCTAGGAACAATTATGACTCGCACGATATTAAGTGTGTGAAGTTAATATGCATATATAAACGTACATATACAGAGAGAGAGAGAGAGAGATAGAGATTATCATCATCATCATCATCATTATATACACACACATACTAGTACACTTAAGTTGCGCACCGCACCTGACTACCTTCCTTCCTTCTTCTGCTTCTCCTCATCCTCTTATCTTCCTCTCAGTATCATTTTACAAACACCATCTCTCTCCTCACTTTACAATAATCACGCGCGCGCTGCTGCATCCAAGCCAATCTTTTCTTTTTTTATATACTATACACACGCCCGTCGTTACTCTTTCCCCCTCCTTCTCCTTACATATTACAATTACATATTAATATATATTTTTTTTTGTTTTTTTTTTCCTCTTTTGATATTTTCAGTGCGGCTATCAATTTTAGTCCTGTTTTCTCCATTTGTCTGTTTTTTTTNNNCACTAATCTTATTTCATATATATATATATATGTGTATATATATATATCTTTTCACATATATAAATGGCGAACTAAACGCGAATCATGATTATCATCATCATGAACAACAAACACACCGACACACCGAATAGTAGTAGTAGTAGAAGTAGTCCAACCAATGATCGCTGCTGGTAGCTAGCTACTTGGGTGGCGACCGGGGACGCACGAAGTCGCGCAACTGGGGATGGTTCGTCCTCGCCTCCTGCTGCTGTCTCCTCCTCTGATGATTCGGACGATCGTATTGGCCAGCCGTCGACGATCGGGCAACGCCTCCTGGCCTTGTGCCGCCCCGACTACCAGATTCCTTTTGCTGTTGACCACCCTCTATTAATTAATTAATCAAACATTTACTCCCACTTTTCTTTTTGCTTTTACGCTAAACTCGAGTGAACTACTAAAAATCATCATCACACATCATCATAATGAAAAAAGTAACTCCCTCTCAACGAAAATCAAATCAAACCAAAAATAAGATAAAATAAAATAAAAGCAGAAGCGGCCAAAAAGTTTCAAACAACTTGTTTATTTTTAAGTTATACAAAACTTTTGTATTCCTCTATTAATAATAAACTATGGAATGAAAACTTAAAAAAACAAAGTTTATTTGTTTTGTATTGTATTTTTTTTTTGCTTTAATTTATTTTTATCAACAATCAAAAATCAATAATTAAATATATGTCTATATATATATTACTTTTTCAATTACAAAAATATGTTGTGTGGTGGGGGATGTTTGCCGTTTATCTAATTTAAACTCTTTTTTTTTTCTTTCATAAAAATTACCTCCACTTTCGATAAACATAATTAGTTTCAAGAATAATTTGTTTATGTATATATATATATCGCCTAAAAATAAACAAGTTATATATAAAATAAAACTTGCAATAGTCCAAATACAATCTGCAATTCCTCAATTTTCATATGCTTATCACCGTATAATAATTAACTTAAAAAGAAACAATCGATACACAAAAAAAAGTGATGATTAAAATAATAATAGTAGTAGTAGTAAAAAGAAACAAAACTAAAGATTATCACTAGAAACACACCAGTCTCCCCCCTCAATTCATAAACACTTTCCAAATTTAAAAGAAACATCGATAATGGCGAAGGAAATAAATGGAAATCAGTTGCAATACCAGAATGTAATAACAACAGTAAAATTTGAGAAAGGGTGACTGTAGGAAAGAAATTGCAGAAGGAAAATTATTTGAAGTGATTACACTGCGTCGTCGTCGTCGTCGTACAGTGTATATTTTTTTGACTAGTATATAGAAATGCGAGTAAACTCGCAACTTGAATAAAGCGATGCACACCCACACACACACTATTGAAAAGAGTTTTAGTAATTGGATTCGAATCATACAATTTGATCCCGTTCTAAATCTAATTCTGAAATCCATTTGAACGATTCACAAATTGAGGGGCGACCGATGGGCCAATTATTAAATTATCCTACCTCTTATATATATTTTTTCAAACTTTTTTTTTTCTTTCATTAAAATTCTTGTTTAATCAAAAATCGCTTAAAACATGATAAAACGAAGCTATCAGCATATCATCCTTAACCTATTTTTATACCTATAAATTATATATATATATTGGCTGTTTTTTTTTCGCATATGAAAATCGTTACACTATTAATACAATCAATACACAATCAAGATATTATGTAAACACGCAAGAATTGTACGAAGGGCCTCCTCTCTGTTATTCAATAGTTTATACGACCCCTCCTCACACCCCCCCCCAACAAATGTTATGCTTGCAAGATCAAGTTTAGTGCGCTCGATTATTAATTCGAACCAGACTCATCAATTAGTGGCTTTAGCGTAGGGAACGTTAAAATAATATTTACCTCTCGTCTCCTTATTTTCGCGCTGATCTACCTGCATACGAGAGGTTGCGTTGTTGTTGTTATTGTTGTTGCTGCTGCTGCTGCTGTTTACAGAATTGCATATACTGGAGGCGATGGTCTTCACTGCGGCTACGGAAGCGGAGGCTGATGCGACTGTTTGTTCGGCAGTTGATTGTTGTTGCTTCTCTTTAGCTTGCTGTTGCTGCTTTTGCAATTCCTTGTGATGTTGGGCCACCTGTGCGTAGCTCATTCGTGGTGGATTACCACTTGGATCCTGCAAAAGTCCAAACGGTTAAAATATGCATGATGATGATTAACAAACACTCAATTAACACTTACAGGTAGAGGCGGTGTGGATGGTTGCCTTGGATGTGACGGTTGTTCCGTTCGGGAAGTTGATGTGCTACTGTGATCCGGCTTGTTGTGAGGCTGCGACTGTTGTTGGTGGTGGTGTTGCTGTTGTTGCTGCTGCTGCTGCTGTTGATGGTGGTGATGATGGTGATGATGGTGGTGGTGCGGTGGCGGCAACGGAGGATGGGCTGCGTGCGCGGAACGGGGAGGTCCTACGGTGCTGGGTTGATGAACCCGGGGCGCCGCCTCGCTGGACACCACCGTGGTCATGGTAGCCGCATTGGTCGTCGTCGGACAATCCACCAGTTCTCCATTCAGCAGAGCGTCATCGGTTTTCGTCGACTTGTCAGCCATCGTACATTTCGTCGTCGTTGTCACGGGAGGAACTAATCTGAAAGCAATCGAAACACAACAAGATTAAAATGACGTCCTCGGCGAAGACCTTCTACCGTTTAAGTAGAGGATAACGTACTTTTCTGGTGAGCTAGGAGGCGTGAGTGTAACCGTACTAAGTTGAATATCGACCGCATCGTTCTTGCTGCAATCGGCGAGCGTCGTTGTCGTCGTCGAAGCGTGTCTGCTATTGTTAGTAGACGTGCCTTGATGTTGATGCTGCTGTTGCTGATGATGATAAGGATGATGCTGCTGCTGCTGCTGCAATTGCTGTGACGCTTGCTGAGGTGATGCTGCCCGCGGAGAATTTGAACCGCTCCCAGAATCTTTGCCCTTTCCTTTCGCCGTACCCTTCACCACGTCCGCCAGTCGGTTCTCGCCCCAATGACTGAGGTTCTGTTGCGTAAGCGGTGGCTCGGCACTCGGAGGAGTCTGCAAGACCTCGACCGGCAAACCTACACTACTTCCGCTACTGCTGCCGCACGCACCACCGGCACTGTTCATCAAAAGTTGCGGCTTGCCAACGACCACATTTCCGGAAGATGCTCCACCTACAAAAATATATCATATGTCTTATTCACTATAGTGCTATGCTAGGATGTATCGAACATGCATCTACCATGTATCAAAGCTAATCCGTATTGTACGATGATACGTATTGGCCTTCATAGTTGTTGTCTTTAACTTTACTGCTTCTATGGCTACTACTACTATATGAAATTGTTGCGTTACCGACCTTTGAAACGAAATTTACCTGGTAGTGGTGGGAATGCGGAATCCTCAAGATCAAACTGCAGCCCCCTGGAGTTGACGTTCTCTCGGGGCTGCGGCTGCGGATTCAACGCGGTCACCACTTCGTCCTCTCTTCTCTTTCCTCGCCTGTACCGAGGAGGTCCCATCGAGTCTTTGCCGGGATGCCCAGCCGGCAGCTGTCGGTACGTTTCGAGAATCTCAGAAGACACGAGTGGAATACCTAAAACTTTTTGTTAACTCATTGTTAATATGAGCTTTTGCACATGACATAAGTATTCTCATCAACAGCAACATACCTGCGGCAGTGTTGACATTATGCGGCTGCTCTTCCATGTGATGGATCCGTGGGGCGTCTCCCATCAGCGAAGGGGGTTTGGCACCTGGGATATTGATTTTTGGCGTGCCCTGAGGAGACACGGAAGGAGGCGGCGCAGAAATGACTGTCTGCTGCTGTTGCTGCAATTGGTGGTGATTCTGCCTCTGGTTTAATCCGATTGCCGCGGCAGCTGCTGTAGCGTTGGCGGACACCGACGTCGCCGCAATAGCACTCGCTGTTCCTGCTACACCTGCAGCTACACCACCCACAAGTGACGGCGGTTGAGGCGGTCCCTGCTGCTGCCCATCCGTCTGGGTGGAGCCTCCGCGGCTTTGCTTACGTGGTCTAGTGCCGTTATTGTTCCGGTACGATTGATGTTTGTACGTCTGCGGCGCCAGCCCGTTCATTTGAAACACTTGGTTTATATCGTAGTACGCACCAGCGGCGTGCCACGGCATCATCGACGTGAAATACTGTTGCTGTTGGTAAGGCGGCTGCAATAAAAGAATGCGTTAGTTGTCGTTTATTGTGGAAATGATGGATGGAAATTCATCTTACGTAGACGTGATGCACTTGATTCGTGTAAGAGACGGACTGGCCAGGTGTTCCGTTCGCCGTATAGATGAATCTCTGTTGACCTCCCGGCGGAAAGGCGGCGGGGTCGTAAACGGCAGCGGGAGGCGGCGTCGCGCGGAATCCATTCTTGACAACGGTACCGGCCGCTGCGGCTGCCACCGGTGGAATGGGCAACCTGTTCATCGGCTTCGCCTTGATACGAGCCATTATGGGTTTATCCTGGAATTCCCGCACCTCTTCCCTCAGATACCGGTATGCCTTTTGGGCGTCCTCATCCGACTCGAAGGTAACGTACCACGAACTGTTGTGCGCGAACTCGCACGAAATAAAACTGGGACACTTTTCGCCGGTAAACAGTTTCTGCAACAGGATGACATGACATGAAGAAACAAATAATAAATAAGGGCTTTCTCTTAGATCTCTCATCTAAGATTTTGCAATGTCTGCGAGAATAAATTACACGGATTGAGCAACCGACACTAGTTTTAGCTAAATTATAATATGCAATTAATAGTGGACTTTCTTTTCCTGCTATTAGTAATCAATAAATACATAATGGCAATAAAATGGACGATTAAACAGGCGTCATCTGAATATAGCAGAGAGAAGACGACTTTGCGAAAACATAGAAATTCGCGAAGTCTGCCAAAAAATGATTGCAAGTAATGAATGAATAAAAATAACAAGATTACTCATTATTATTAACATGACGTTCTCATCGTTCAAGTGATGCTGCATTTTATGTTGAATATTGTTTATCTTTACATATTAAATACAGCTCCAATTGGAGAGATGTGGATTGACCTTTTTCCTACGTTATCGAGAAATGGTTAATTGTTAATTGCTATGATTCACAGGCGCATTTGCCTCATCACTTTGGCGATGGTTGGACTCACTTTGACTTCTTCGATAGGAGTATTATCGGGGATCTCTCTCAGAATAACGATGCATCTCTTATGGTTGGGTCTGACTTTGACGCCCTCCTCGTCGACCTGGACGTTAGGAGACTCGCGCAACACCTCCGTTATCAGTTTTATATCTTTGGTTAACTTCTTCACCTGATTAAAATTGGCCACCGTCCAGATGGGTACGTACTGGTCATTGTCCATCTGGGACAGCAAATACGTATCATTTGCCAAGTTTTCTCTGCAAAAAAAAAACAACAAACATAAATAACAAGTCCAATCAATCAATCAGAAAAAAGAAAAGAAATCAGCATGATGAAGAGAAGAAGGTGATCTCTCTCTCTCTCTCTGTCTGTCTGTCTGTTTTTCTCTGATTTACCTTGAAAAATAATATTCCAACTGTTGTGAGAGCATCTGCTTGAGTTGTGGCAAGGTGAAGGCTGAGGCTGGCTGCTGCTGGTGCAATGTCCCAGTGTCGGCGGGAGCTGAGGGCGGGACGGGGCTCAGTCCCTCAGCCCCCTCCGTCACGCCGTTGACCGGGACGAACTCCTGCACCACCGGCTGCATGCCGGCACTGTCAGGGGCGGCGGTGGCAAACACCGCCCCTGTTGGCAGGTTCCCGACATCCCCATTCATGTACACGTAGCCTGCAAACAGAAAACAATAAATAAATAAAACATTACGCAAGACAGAAAACACCTCCTCCACCACACTTCTTTCTCGGTCCCATACACAAATCAATAATCATCGCGTTACATCATCCCTCATTTCTCCTCCTACTACTACTAATACTACTCACACGTTAAAATAATCATCCCGACCCCACCCCTCAATTATTTCAATTGCATCAACGCGAAAAACACTCAAATCATTTTAACCCCCATATGCGTTTATGCGTTAGTTAGTTACCCTTCATGAAACTGCTACTTCTCTTCCACCACCACCACTAACAATAACAACAACATGATCCTTCTTGCAACGCTCCTATCTTTCCATCCGAACATCGTCCGACATCCAAACACTATATTATCGCCGCCGAAACTATTTTTACCGAGCTAATGTGTTCCTCCTCCTCCAATTTCTCCTTCACGCACACACAAAAGCATCGACTGTGCCAATTAAAAAAGCTCACTACTCTCGAAAACACGTTCGTTGTTCGTCGTCGTCGTCGTTGTTGTTGTCTATCCGTTTGTTATATATCTGTTTTGACATTCAAAGTGCCAACATTCAATTCCGTCTGTTATATTTTGTTTCTGCTCTCAAGCTGCGATTGATATGCGGTTGAAAGAAGAGATAACTCTAGTCGTGTGTTCGTCGTCCCTTTCATTTGATTTGCGAGGCTTCTCGAAACATATTAAACCATCACCACGAAGACGCCTCTTCCTTCTGTCTCCCTTCTTTCACACGTGGACAACTCCGGGAAATTTATCATTCCCGGACTTTTCAAATTTGAAATTATATTTTTTTGTTGATATGGTCAAGAGAAAAGAGGAGAGGCGGACGGAATAATATAGTAGCCGGCGATGCCGTTTGTATAAGCACCTCGGATTCAGTTAAAAACCTATTCACTATATTTAACCATCAAATATACGCGATATTTCTGTCGTTGACGTGTCGTCCCGCATCCGAATGTTAACAATTTCAAATACACTCTAATAATAAAAATCCCCATCAAAACGTTAAAACAACAATCGATGATTACATTACATTTCCAAAATCCAATTTTTGTCTCATTCACATATATCATCGCACGATATCATATCAATCCTAACAGCTTCATTATTTCCAATCATCACAAAATAGTTAAATATCACTTACTTCTATATCAAAGTTAACGCACACGCTCATGTATTATTATTTTTTTCAAATAGAGAACGAGAGGCAACGAAAAATCAATTACTATTAATAAATAATAAAGATATGACGGTAATGGTAACAATGGGCTCGCTGATAACAGTCGCGCAGTGATAATCCTATTTTTAGTTGTAAACGCAACAGCACAAAAAAAAATCTACACGGACGCAACAAGTTTAGAAGAACGAAAAAAATAAAAATAAAATGTATATACAATAAAGAACTTTCTGAGAAGGGAACACGAAACACTCACTCGCTCAACATTGAGCTCTTTATAAATAGAGACAGAGAAGGAATATCCGTGTATTCGTGTGTGTGTGTGTGAGAGAAAGAGAGGTGGTTTCGCTCTTGAAACCGTGCAAAGCAAATTTAAATGCGAATAGGAAATTCCGAGATATTGCATACTTGATCCGGAGCTATTTTTTTCTTATTATTCTGCATGTATCACCGGTCTGTTTATTTATTTCGTTCTGTTGTTATTGTGAAGAGTATAAGCTTAACTAAAATGTGAGAGAAATGGTTTTTAAGGGTGCGTGGGTTGGTGAGTTGGCCCGTGCGAGTGAGGGTGGGTGGAAATAGCTGATGGGAACGAAGGGTGGTGGTGGTGCATCGAAAACAACAACAACAACCCCTTGCTTCTCAACCACCCCCCAGTGATGAATCATTGTTGCTGCATTAAATACCGATTATTAATCCTGTTAGATCAATATTGCAAGAAGAAAACTTTAAAATGATCTCCGTACGTTTCACTACTCGCTATAATCGAACATCAATTATTGCGTAACACACTCTGTCAGACACACACACACACACACATAATATTCGCTTGGCATTAAAAACAATGTTGTTTTGAATCGTCGCTTATCTTGGAGCTTCATATTCATATATTTTAGCTTTTAATAATGCAGAGAGGGAAGTCGGGTGTTGTGTTCGCTTCTTAAATGTCTCGGTTATAATAATAATAATAAACGAACGAATGTATTTATTACACGTACGCGTTTCAATACGTAATTAGTTTTCTAATCGGCAAAAAACACCTATGCACATTGAATATATTTAAACAAAGAAATGCCAAATCATCGCGCAATCATCAATTAAGTTAATTATAGAATTAGTTTTTTTTTTCTTATTCCCTCGCTCCACTCGAAATATTATCTAAACCACAAATGAACTCTCTCTCTCTCTCCCTCTATTTATCCTCCTTGTGTTGGAGAGTTTTACATAATGTTTGGCCTTTCGATAATTTCCTTATCGCGCTAAATTATATAAAAATTGCTCTTAGCCAGCAGCTTATAAAGTATCTAATATGTGTCATATAAGATCCATTACATATTGACCGTGCGCCACAAGTTATGGAAAATACGCTGTTGTTATTGTTGCCCAATATATCGCGAGTCTTCGATCTTTCGCACTGGAAAGTTGGTTCGGTGTTGCGCAATCATCGGGTTTATTGTTCGTAATGAATTCGCGCGTTCCGCTGAGAGTTCTTATTTTTATTTATTTCTTTCATTCCGCTTCTTCTCACTTTCTCTCTCTCTCTGTATGTATGTCTCTTTCCATCGGTGCAATGATGAGGGGGAAACCGTGAAGAGTTTTATCGATTTGAACCAAACGAGAGAAGAAGAAAAAATTTGATTAACAAAAGTTTGTAGACACCAGCCAACACAGACAGCATAACGCGACAAATGTTTAATTGTGATTCAAATTAGAGATTCATTCAATGATTCGTCAGTGTAAAATGTCTGATGGAGAGGAAGAGGTAAGCTGGAAAAAGACAAGTTTTCCATAAATCAATTAACCCGAGGTTAATCTTATTAATTCGCCAAAGAAATTATAATGGATGTTGGTAGCATGTTTCTAACAACAGTCTAACTCTCAATTGGTCGCAGAAAAAAGAAATACACACACACCAGCTCAATTATCAATGGAAATCAAATCCGTTAATAGAGAAAATGCCTGATGATTCAATTGGAACTTGGCACGCAATTATCTGCAGTTAATTAAATAATAGGCCAGATTACTGTAATGCCTCTCATTCGCAATTAGAAATTCAACATATTCAAAATTAAGGACGGATGTATCAAAATGTTAAATCCATTTGCAAGAGAAATTATTATTGGAGGATAGTTTCAAAAAAAAAAGAAGACGATTAGATAACACCTAATCGGATGGATTTCGCTCGACACTTTAGCTCAAAGACCGTTTACGTAATTGGACCTCACCGCCACTGCCTTCTTCGATGAAAGCAACACATAATAATAATCAATGTCCTGCGGGGCTCTTAAACTCTTTGCATTTCCATTTTTTTTACGATGCCGATGTTACTTAATAACCTCAACCCAATTTCAATGCACTTATATATTATTATTATTATGTTGCAGTGCCATGGGACGATTGGCCATTAGTTTGAGGATCACAAATAGTGTAATCCGAATACAATATGATTACAGAAACTACTAGCAATTCAAATCAATTAGCAGGAGGTTACTAATACAACCATTGTTGCTATCAAGGTATAGATGAAACGTATAAATAATCCCATGTCTGGTCAAGTTCGCTTCACTTTAGAAGTGCGAATACATCGCATGTATACAACCGAATTTCCATCACGTGGTGAACGAGTGTTCCTTCTTCGTAATCTTTTTAAGTTCAACAAATCAATGTTCGCCACCCCCCCCCCCATGTGACTGCGGTGGCATGAATTATGAATCCGACAAAGTGTGTAACCTAATTAATTGATCAATAACCTCAAGTTTGGAAATTCTCGAAATAAGCTCTCAATCTTCTGAAGTATCGGAAACATCGAAAACGCATTGTTTGCCCGACACGATGAATTTCACTAATATCTCCAAAGAGACTTTACAAGAGAGTTGGCGAACTGATGGCAAACGAGCATCCATAAAATGTACAGTTTACAATTATATAATTAAGTTTGTGCGGAGCGAAGAAACTGCACGTTTCGGTCATTCTCTAATAGAAATCAAGTGTCCCTAAAAACAAACGTCAGATGCTCAATGTGTATTTTCTATTATGCAAATTGTATCTCTTTCTTTTCTATTTTCGTGATAATCAAACTGAAATCACAGATCTGATTGAATTCAATATTCCTAAAATCAATCAATCAAACAACAATTATTATTATTATATATACAAGTTGGCATGCAAATGACGACTATGTCCTAAACCTTTTCAGAGTCAATTATATCAAGAAAATAAGAAATGTTCTTTCCAAGGCTGACTTTGATCTTATGATATTTATAAAATTAGAATACAATTTTTGATCTCTCCGAAATCATTAATCAATTTTCACCATCAACATGTAGAACAGATTGTGAAAGTGTAAAAAAGATCAAATTCATTTTCAATGGAATCATAGATTTTGCAAAGCAGATTGATGAATGAATATAACAACAAGCTACCTTCCGTGTTAGAACCCGAAGTGACTGCAGCATGCATAAGCAATTCGGTATCAATACATACAGGTGATTACACAAGTTGTGGAAATATGTAATGACCATACACACACATGCACACTATTTGACAGCGCGTTTTTAAGGTTATGTTCGAACAATGATGATGTATAGGCAGAGAGAAAAAGGAGTGCTTCGACTTTAAATGCAACTGCAGCAACACAATATTCATAAATATCAGATTCTTGTAAAGATGATCAATACGAGTCTCATCGCACATTGTTTGGACAGTACAAACAGAGAGAGATTCATGCACTGCATTGAGCGAGACAAAGCCAAACTGAAAATTACCAATCATTCTTAGGACTTGGATTAGATTCAATGTAATGCATTAATTGCCAGGTTACAGAAGAAGTAAAAACAAACTGTAATTGAGAACAAACTTAGAACAACAATATAATTGCCAGCTTAAAATACAATGTACAAATATAGAGTAGATGAAAAGTTACAGTATTGAAAATGAGGTAACATTAGATTGGTTAAATATCGTAACTGAGTATATCCACAGAAAGATGAAACATTATCAAGGGTTATATGTCATGAGATGAACATAATGTGCAATGATTTTTACATTGTAAAAGCTGAATAATAATAATGGATGGATGGGTAAACACTGCGAATCGTTTAAAGTCTACATCAATCAATGAGGTTAGTCAACTAACATTGCATACTCTACAGAAGTTGATTGTAATTGATTCTCTTCCCCGGGTATTAGTCTCTACTCGAAATCTCAAGAGGCATGCATAATAGCTGAAGCAGCCATCACTGATCATCTGATCAGGACTCTGTGGATACAATGATGATGATGATTATTATTATTGTTATGATTAACCTGTGTTTAGGTGATATGTGGTCATTGGTGGAGCTGCGACCCCCGAACGACAAAGGGAAAAATCTGGGTGCACACGAAACGGGCGTTCTCTGCTTTTTCTCCCCTTTTTGGAACCTTCTCTCGGGGGCCAAACCCCCCGGCGCGCACACACCGGATCCGCCGAAAACCCGAACAAACGAAAAGAAGAGGTGGAGAGAAGGTTGGTCGGATGGATCGGAGGAGACACGTTCGGAGAAAATTACGTAAACAATCGCACTGAGCGGAGCAGCGGTAACCCGGAAACCATGTGCCTGCCTGCCTGCCTATCACTCGGCTTTCATAAACCGACTTATCTGTCTGTCTGTTAAATGCGTGCGTGTATATATATATACATATAAGTGTGTGTGTGTGTGTACGTGTGCAAATGTGTACGTGTGTCTGTATGCGTGTGTGCGTGTGTCTGTTCTGTTAACGGGTGCCACAAGAAAACCAATTTTTATTACACGCAGATGTTTGTTGGTTAATTGGGAGCGATGCGGTTGGTGGTGGTGGCGGTGGGAAATCGTCGCGGCTCGTTTTACCGTGCCACCGAGTGGTGGTGATGATGAGAGAGAGCCCCCCAAATTGTACCGGGCGCACGTTTTTTTTTCTCTCTAGTTCTATCTTTTCAATGTTGTCGTTGTTGTTGTTGTTCGTTCTGTGTACGTGTAGAGTAATAGTAGACTAGCAAATAATGTATATTTTGGCTTACCGCTTTAGATTACTTTGCAAAACGCAGCACACAGTTTTCTCACGGAAACTCGCAAAATGGCCGTCGCAGTGCACATGCCACAAATATCTGGCTACTGCGCGATCTCGCGTGTGGCGGGGTGACGACGGTGTGCGGGACGGACGGAGACGGACGCGCACAGACTGAGACGGAGAGAGCGATCGCAGCGCCGCCGACGACGACGTCCATGCAGTCGCGCGTCCCTCGCACGGGCATGCGCGTGCGACAGAGACGCCACCACTCAGCCGATCGGCGCACCAGACTGAGACGGAAGCGGAAGGTACGAGGGTGCGCGCGCATCCTCGCCCGCCAATTCAAATATTTGCCGCGACCCGGCGACGCATTTCTTTCTTTTCTTCCGTTTCTCTATTACAATATTATCCATCGCACTCTCCAAATCACCTTCGTTATTATTATTATTAACAATGATTTCCTCCCTCCCATCCGACGGAACGTCAAAGACGTGTTCGCTTGACGTTCGCTGCTGCATCCGATTGAAATGTCACCGAGCTTTCTGGAAGCGAACACAGAGCGCGCGCACAGTCCCATTGCATCACAATTTAAAAACGCATGATCACATTACCAAAATTCCATTCATTGCTCCATTTAATACTCAAATAAATGCAAACATCAGTTTATCATTGCATCACCCGCGCAATTTCAGCACTCTTTCCCAATTATCATTACCGAAAAATTCCAAACATTAATCTGTTACCATCACAAAACATAACATAGCAAACAGTAAACTTATCAATGCCACTCATAGATTGCGCAACCATCAATCATCAATTTACCATTTCCGCCCTTACGTTCGACGCATTTCCGCCTAAATCACTTCATTACGTAATTCAATTACATTTAAAAAAATAAACTAAAACACGACCATAATTTGATTCGAACAACACATTTTTCACTGCTTCTATGCGAACTCTAATAATACTTAATACAATAAACATAATAACTTGCTGTTTTTAAACATGAATGAACACTTTTCAAAAAAAAAACAATACCTACAGGGTGTTTAAATAAGAGACGACGTGAAGTTATCAACGTCGCTCACAGATAGCGCAATCATCAATTTATAATTTCCGTCACCGCGCATATGCAACAATTCAAACGTATTTCTTATTCTAAATGAATTGCATAATAAACTAAAAACTTAAAAAATGCAATCATCTTCTATGATTACGTAATTGAACTATTACAAAAAAAGCCGTTATGAATTTACGAGTTTTGTGTATAATAAAAAGTTTAATTTTCAACTTTTGTACTTATGAAAAGAATAAGTTGTATAAATCTAATGATCAAATGCATTTTGTATATGTTTCTAGAGTAATTAACATAAGACACAGAGAGAGAGAGAGAAGAACGTTTATTTATAATATGAAATTTGTAGAAATCGTGTGCGGCGATAATGTAGAATCAGCACCGGTCACGTCGTTCGATCTTCCCGAAGACGGCATTTGTTAATTTCTCTTCGCTTCTAACAAACTCTTCTTCTCTTTTATCCTCAACTTCGCATCTATTTATATAAAATATTAGAAGAGGTATGCTAATCGAGAGATGTAATTCGAATGCGCGCCTCATTTCGGATGCATACATTCTTCGGGTTCGTGTAATTAATGAGGAAAAAGGCGTCCTTCGATTCGACGAAAGGACACGTATAGATTTATCTATAAATATTTATTTTTTTTAAAAATAAATTTAGTTAACCAATTGAATTTTCCACAATTTTCGTCGCGTCTGCTCATTCCCACTCGCTTTCTGTTCAAACCGAAATTGATGCTTCAATTGAGTGACAGGATGCACTTTTGCATTGCATTATTATTATTATTAACAAAATTATTGTGACTTTTCGTTGTTGTTATTGTTACTGTTTACAGCTGTGTTCATTTCGTTCGCATATTGATTCCCGAACAATAACGTTAGATTATAAGCACGATCGAGCGAACGGTCGCGTCGTCCTTCAATCCATCGAATGATTTTATAACAATATTTAAATTATTTTTTTTTTCCTATGTTTCGCTTTGAAAAATATCATTTTATAACATATAATAAATATGCGCGGCTGTTTTTTTTTTCTATTCCTCTACTTGATTGTTTGATCCTTGATAGATTGAACAAGGAACTAAATTGAAGATTATTTAGTGTGCATTTCGGTTACGTCGAAAGAGTAACGTGCACGGCGACCGTAAGATCTTTTGATCAAAGTTCGCGTTTCGATGAGTTGGAAACTAAACAAAGTTATTTAGTTATTAGCGAATAAATGAATGAATGTTATTGAAAGTTAGAGTAAACATGCAAATAGCGTATTAACATTTTCACCTAATTACAAATGTTATCGACTGATAGCGAGAAGAGCGTATATTGATGTTATCAGGGGGGAAACTCGTTTAATGGTCATTACATTATATGCCAAAGCGAAAGTCCTTCTAGTCCTTTCGTTGCAAAAAAAAAAATTCCATGAATTCCTCGACTGAACACGTGCCAAATTCGCGCCAATTTTCGAAGTATTGGGTTTTATTTGTCCCCTGCCGTAAAGTCCATTTTCCCTTGAAAATCCCAAAAAGATTTGACCATTTGAGGGTCCTTTACAACCTTTTTCCCTCCCAATACTCGCAAATACACATCTGTTCATTTGTACCTCTTCTCAGAAAAAGAAAAAAAAAAGATCTTCTTTATTTAAGCTTTCTTTTTCGACAAAAGGATATTCAAATTCACAAAATCACCACGTGTCTTGTTATTCTTACATTTTCTTACCTAGATTTTTTTGAAGAAATTTTAACCGTTTTAAAATTCCTAGATTTTACCTACGAGTTTTTCATTATCTCTCTCTCTCGTCCACAGGTACAAATCTATATCATATTTTTTATGTTCTTAAGCCGACTTGTTAATTAATGTTAATGATGGAATCGGATGAAGATGCAGAAGTAATTGCGAATTCCATTGAATTTCGTTGCAAATCGATATGATCGATGCTTCTTGCTGCATGCGGCGCGTCGTCCCCTTTCTAATTTTCGATGTTGCGAAACTCTTTTTGACAATTACGGCTCGTGAAATTTTGCAAAGTTCATTTACTTTATATCGAAATAAACAAACAAAAATCGAAATAATATTTCCCAGGAAGCAGTTAAAATGGATCTTAGATTCTTGTATTTTGGATTAATCTGAATATGATCATTCAATTAGTAGATTTTGATATGCAACGTCAAAACAATGCTTTTCGTTTTTAAAGCAATGAAGAAATACTATGATCGTATGTGTTTGGTATAATGTTTCCAACGTTTAGAGTTGCAATTACATGAATCCAAACACTTAATGAAAAACGGAAAATGTCTGGAATGGAAATGCAATGTTTGTACAGAAAAAAAATGATATTTGGAAAGTTACGGATTTTCGGATCCCTTTCTATTCGCCATTGCGAAAGAGCTCTGGGTTATTTATGTTTGCGTTGCATAAGAGTCTCGGTAATCACGTAGATTTATGATTTATACATTGATTTGAGATGGTATTTGTTGACTCACCGTCCAGGGTCGTGGCAAGGGTGCAAAAGTCCGCGTGGTGCTGTTGGTGATGGTGTAGTCTCTCGTGGTGGTCCCATTCGACGAGCGAATCCCTATTCGACTCGGTGTATTTTGTCTCGAACACATCGGCGTACGGATTGAGACGGGTGACCGATGCGGGGGCGGCGGCGGCTGCGGCGAGGCGTCCCGACGTCGACGGTGGTGGCTGCTGAGGCGTCGGAGACGTCACCTGAAACGAACGCATTCCATCAACATCGTCATCTCGATAACATAAGCATTAGATTATATAGTTTGTTGTGCGTCTGTTTTATACTGTCGCATATCATTGAGAGATCGCGCACGGCGCAAGGGAAAGTACACCTCTCTAGAGCGCGATAAACACATATAGATAGATATAGACATATAGATAGATAGATGGAAAGAGAGAGAGAGAGAAGACTTCCTGCTTGGACTGAGAGTTGACCCATTTCAGGTCTCTGCAAGAATGCCGAACGACGACGACGACGATGACGACTAGGTGCTTTACGTTGCGCAACGCGCGCCGCTGGCTCTTCTAAACATATGTTCTTGTTGTTGTTATGCTCATTTTTTCGCGCTCTCTCGTTCCATCTTTCTTTGCATCACCTAGCACTAATATTATTGTTGTTGTTGTTGATGATTATGATTTTGTTAATACTTACTCGCTGTTTCTGCTCATTGTGAAAAGAGTTGTGCGCCGTTTCTTCTACGTACATTCTATCCATCAGAGTATTAATTTCTCTCATTCTTTGAATTTCTCGCGCACCACAAGAAACAACAACAACAACAACGATTACGACACTGGTTGTTGATGTTGTTCAATTATTGTTGTCGTTGTTAAGGAATGAATAGAAACAACGCGGCACTCGCAGCACACTCACGACCGTCCAGAGACCGCGGAGACAGACAGCAGCACACTCGACGCCGGAATCGTCGTGCGAGCGTTGTCGATGATAAGAAGGGAAGGACCTCTCCGATATGTGCGACTAAAATCCGCTGATAATAATTTAATACATATACACAGGCACATACAAACAATGTGCATGTAGTATAGTAGAGTAGGTACAGGGATACGCGCGCACTCACACCCACACTCACTCAATCACGTTCGCACGCACACTTTTGCTTGCTTGCTGATGAAGCTGCAGCAGCCACCACCACCGTTCATGTGTACAGGAGCTGGCGCACTAAATGCACTGAGGGGACGGGAGCTCAGGTACCTCTCTTTTTCCTTTGTACAAAAAAACGCGTAGTGGGGGTGGTGCAATCGAGATCTTGTCTCTTCGCTCCCTCACCAACAACTGAACCAACAACAGCAGCAACGAAGACTTTGAGGCAGCAACAGCAGCAAGCAGCAGCATCAGCAACAAACAAGAAAGAAGGAAAGAAAGAAAAAAAAGAGAGAGGGAGATCAGAGCGCGCTGCACCGACGTTCCGTGCACCAATGACCAAACGCCTGCTTGCCCGCCTGCCTCACTAAACGACTTATAATTACTAATAACATCGGGGGCGGCAACGGCAAACGCATCGCCAGGGCCGGCGCCGGCGGGAATCCCCAATCAACAGCGCCATTCATCGACGTTTCCAACAAATAACGATACAACGATCGATAAATCGCAAAAACTGTATGCAACAATACGCGCGCTATTTTTTTTTGTATATATATAAACATATTGTTGTCTTCAGGTAATATATTGCTCGTAACAAGCAGTCAAGAAAAGCCAACAGGAGGACATCTTCGTTGCATTGCACAAACGCATCTGCAATACAAAGACTTTTGTTTCCATTTCTCTTTTGTTTGCCAGACGTATCTATGAAATTAAAGGACAGTTAATAGTTAAAATACTCAAAAATAATCAATTGTAATTTACAAATATGAATGAATGATATTATAAATCATAGAGTTGCATAATGGATATCAGTAACAAACTGTAAATCGTAATACACCTAATCAAAATTGATAATAATTGGGAAGAGGGCGTTTCTTGTTTATGTCTTTGTTTGTGTTCTTCTTCTTCGAGGGGGTTGTAATGAATTCCTGCTGGCGGTGCGGTGCGCCGGCCCTGAGCAGCAACAAGCGGCGCACTTTCCTGCTGCACGTACAAACAATATGGATAAACTCTATACCGGATGCGGAATCGACCTTGCCTCGGCGCGGCGAGAAGAAAGAAAGCAAAAGGAAACAACAATAATAGCGAGATACAGAGAGAGAGAGAGAGAGAGAGAGAAATAATGAACATGGCATAAATATTGCCATTATTATTATATTACATATAACATTTACAAAACCTGACGCGCGCATTCCTCTTTTTTTGTTGTTGTCTTCTCTTCTGTTGTATATGTGCATTCATTTGTTTGCTTATTTCTTGTTCTCTCTCTATCTACCTGTCTTCGTCTATTTGATTCGTTCTTTCTCGCGGAGGCACATTTCATTATGCATTCGATTTCAAGAACGAATCTGCATTGAGCGTAGAAAGAACGTTATTACATTTTCCCCACTTCTTTCGTGCTGCAATTGCTGCAAGGTAAAAATGTCAAATCTAATTCCACCTCTTGCGCGGATACGCGTTAAATCGAACAAAGATAAATAATGGAATTTAACTGATCGTTACACTTTATGCAATATAGAATCTAGTCTCACCTTTTTGCTGAGATAAGACTTGGAATTTAGTTACTTTCAGTTGGACGAATAAATAGCAAATATAGCAACGAATTTGATGGAGATTGCTTAATGATTATATAATTAGTTTGTTTTTCCGGACTGAACCGGTTAAAGAGTGCTTAAGGGACACAGTACGTAAAAAGTAACTAACAAATAACGAATGTAATTAAAACACAATTGAATAATGATAGATAGATTTTGTGAAATTATATTATTATATAGTTATTAATTAAGAATTAAGTTGTTGTGGTGGAGGATGGAGAACGGTTGTTGTGTGAACAACTCGTTGTGAATGAGAGGAGGAGTGGTGCTCTTCGGTTGGGTTAAACCCACGTGTTGCGCGTCGCGGATTCATCAATCTCGGATCCAAAACATTGCGTGAACATATCGATCCGGCGTCTCTCGTCCATCCATGTTGGATGTGTTAGTGGCGGTGGTGCAAGAGGAGAGTTTTAGCTGTGCGCTCGGATTTTCGCTCGCGCACCGAAACGACCAATTTCGCACAATTTTCGCACTTTTTGGGAGCGGTTTTTTTTTCAACACGCACACACATATTTATACGAGCGAAAGACGCGAACACGCATATACGTTTTAAACATATTTATATATATATATATAGAGAGAAAGAGATTTAGTGAGAGGAAATGTGAAGCGAGTTTGTAATGTCCATATGGCGCGTTAGAAAACTCACCTTCTGGATGATGAAGCAGCGAGGATTGAAGGCGGTGCATATGTACGTTCCGTTCGCGTCGAGGCAGGCCGTGAGGAGAGGATCGGAGACGGCGGCTGCTGCTGCTGCTGCTGCGGCGGTGACGGTTGCATTTGGGGGCGGCAGAAGGGCAGGTTTGGTGCCGACGGCGAGTCCAACTCTGCGGAAGGGCATCTGGAATTGCGGAGCGGCGACCGCCACTCACCATGCCGACCTGTTGAGTCCGTCCGCCGGATCGCACCGATCCTACAAACACACACACACACATTCACACACGCACGTACACACATTCATACAGCTGATCCGATCCGCGAACGAACGGCGCCGACGCCGCGACGCCACCCCCGCATCCTTCAACATCATCTGTACGTACGTACGCACGCACGCAGTTCGTTAACGCTCTTCGAACCATCCCTATACGAACGCCACAATCGCCGTCATCTTCAACAAGAAATACAACTTTCTGCATTAACATATTGATTATAAAAGTTCAATTTTTTAACATTTCCATCCGCACTCATCCCTTGAGATATGCAAATTGAAGATTCATCTTTCAATCACATTCATGCTTAATCAGAAAAGAGATATTATGTGTGCGTTTCAAAATCACGTTAAATCGATATTATTTAAATATTCCTTAAGATTACTTCATTGATGTTCATCATGATCACTATGTTACATTCTATTACGATCCAAACCAACATCGATGTTATGACAAGAGCAAACTAGATTTCCATTGCATTAAACTTCACTTAATGGAGACTTAATATATGGAGGTAACGATATGCAACAGTCTTAAATTTCATTGCTTAATTGAACTCCACATAAAGAAAATCAATACTGAAACCCTTGGGGCAATAGCATTGAATCGACTTAAATGAATACTGAATTTCCAATCTTATTGTGTCGTCAATGTGCGAGCAAATACCATATATTAGAGTTTACATATCGGAGCCGCTGCATTTGTCTTTCCTATGTTTTTTTTTTCTATAGAACTCTTGAATATGTACTGATACTGTAATTATGTCAATGCAATGTATCAACGGAGGTGAAAACTTCCAGAGTTTACATCTTAAGATGTCTAAAAAGGACGGACAAACATATTGTAGCCATCTTTTTTTTTTTTTGATAGAAGACGCCATTTTGTGAAGAAATCTACCAAAAAAAAAAAGTCAACGACTAGACAGGAAGTAATGGAAAATTTTGAACATGAGGATTAAAAATAAAATTGCAACCTATATTATTTTTTTTTGTCGCAGCAACGTATTTCTCTTTCATTTCTCATATGTTAATTGAGTAGTGTGAATTAGTAGATTTTCTTGTTTGTTTTTTTTATTTTTCATATTTCTTTTATTGGGGTCCGTCGCGGAACCTGAATACTGTCAACAATGAAATTCATTTAGCGTTATAAAAATTATTAAAATAAAAAAGTTCGAAAATTTAAAACGGAAATCATAGTTAATGAACGGAACAGAACGAGAAAAACATGTATGAAAAAACGACACGAAGAAAGGCACAATATGCATGCATATACTATATATATATATACTAATACACCGTCGTCGTAATATAATATATATATGTATTATAATATTCCCAACTCGTCATCCTCCTCTACCATTTCTTTCTTTTCATATACATATATAAAAATGAGTCTTCAAAATTATATATAGGTCACACAACAACAATAAATGCACCCGTTGTAATCCATCACCGTCTGCGAATCTATAAACACATCTCTTGCTGCTGTTGCTTGCTCGCTCTCTCTCCAGTTGCAAGTAACTACATCTATGTTTTACTGATCGAAATTATACAAGAACAATTATTATACAAAGAGAAATAAGTAAAGAAATTAACAAGAATCGATCCGGAAAAATAACAAAAAATAATAATAAGTTTAATTAAATAAACGACGAATAAAAAAATATTTAAGTTAGTGGTGTACATATGAATTGGAAATTTATTGTTCTGAGCAATTAAAAAAAATAATAATAAGAATAAAATAAAAACGAAAAATATTTGAAGAATTGAGGAAAATTAAAATAAACTTGTGTGTGTATGTATGTATGTGTGTCTGCTGCTCGACAACAACAAAAAAATATGAAAATTTTCTTTTCCGGTGCTACGCTGCCTCCGCATCATGCTCGTCCCTTCTCGTCATCATCATCATCCTTCTGCTAATGATGGCTCACTCACTCTCTCCATCTCCTCCTCTCTGAAAACATCGAACGCACCCAGGTACATACTATCTGGGATCTACGATCATCATGTCTTTTTTTAATACAATACTAAGATTTCGAGATTGCTTTTATTCTGTTTGATTTCAGTTATCCTTTCATCTATCAGCTGTGTGTTAGTGGTGTGTCTGTGTGTGTGTATTTGTAGCGACTGCAACTGAACGGATCCGTTAATAATTGTAATTATAGTTATGACGACAATAATAGCAGTGGTGTTTGGTGTTGGCGGCAGCGGTGTTGATGGTGGCGATGGGCGACTGCGGTGGTGATGGTGGCAGCAGCATTAGAAACCGTGGACCTTCAGCTGGTCCGGCTTCGCCAGCCCACTCTTCGTGAGCCACTGGCAGATGTTCTCCCTCTGGTCCCCTTGCAACTGAAGCACCTCTCCGTATTCGGGGTGCTCAATCACAGTACCATTGCAAGCAAACTCCTACAAAATAAACAAACAGTAAACATGAGTGATCAGTCAAAAGAAATGAAAAGAGCAAAATGAAAATCCGTACCTTTTTACATGCCCTCACAATTTTCTTCAGGTCATAGTCGGATGAAAGTCCTTGCACAGTAGTCAGAGTCTTACGACCATTCCGTTGCTGGATCCTTATGTGAACTAGTCCGTCTTGTACATCATCTTCTGAACCCTTACTTGCGTCAGCAAAGGGGTCTGCAAGAGAAAAGAAACGAGACTCGAATCAATTGGTAAGAAAATGGGGGCGCCGTAGTAATTAGGTGGCGGCGATCGATATACGGAGAAACGAAGAAGAAACATAGCGATCGTGTGCAATGCGTAAGATATGTGGTTTGGTTTGGAGGAGGCATGGCAGCAAATTAAAAAAAAAAGAGAGAGAACCGGGTCGAGGTCGCGAACTTGAAACGTTTCTATGGGCGACCACGACGCAATGCCACCCTCTCACCACCGAAGCAAACATGCATCATATTTTAGGCGTTGCGTAATCGAAGGGGGAGCGGCGACGGCGGCGGTGGAGACAATAAACAACGAAAGTCTATTTTCGATCGGGCAACATTTCGGCCCCCCCGTCGTAACCCCTTCGCGCTGCTGTTTACCTCGTTTCCATTTCAATTTCTTTTCTATTTACTCTCTCTCATATTTTGGCACATAAACATGTCGGCCATNCCCACGAGACTCTCACGCACGCACGCTCGCACGTCGTCTTCACCGACCGCCTGCCACGCGCGACTTTTGTAACGTCGATTTTGCACTTACCAAATGTGTTAAGATTCTGGATGGACATACGATAATCAAAATATATACGTATAAAAAAAAAATCTGCAAACTGCACGCAGCTCCCAATAAGCGGATGATCACTAAATAAAAACGTACCGCAACGGAACCACCGAATTTTCACTTTGGATGCACGAGAGCGGAGCGGTGCGAAGGCCTCGTAGCAAATGGTGACGCGTACTCGAGCGCCCTCTACCCCAGCTAATGTCACCCCGATGCCAACATGATGCATGAGAATGTTACCAGAAC